GGGCCCGCCGCTTGCCCTGGCCGAGGAGGATGCATCTGTACCCTACCGACCTCACCCCTGCAGGTTTCATGTCCGAGGAAGAGAGGAAAAAGTTTGAGAGTCTGAAATCCGACTTCAACAAATACTGGGTCCCCTGCGTCTGGTTCACGAACCTGGCTGCCCAGGCCCGCAAGGATGGACGCATCCGGGACGACATCGCTCTCTGTCTCCTTCTGGAAGTGAGTCAGCCTCGGACCAGGCCCCTTAGCCCTGCAGCTTTGCAGACGAATAATTCTGGAATCTAACACGTGCACAGGCGCCACCTACGTGCTATGAACGTTTGGAAGCACGCACAGTGTGGTAACTCATTTATCCCTCACAGCCCTGGAGACGCGTACATTCTTATCACCCCTTTCCAGATGGGGAAACTGTGGCATAAAGTAGAAAAGCACAAGTCACACAGCTAGTTGGCGCGGCTGGGACTCACACTCAGACATTCTGGCTCCGGGCTCTGCGCTTGCAGCACTTTTGCTAAATCGCTCCTCATGGCAGGTGGCCCGTCCTGTCTAGACTGCGGGCTCCGCCCCGGGCTGCTCCTGCCGGCTCCCCTGGGCGCTGCCTACCCCTCCCCGCTGACCTCCGCTCTCTGCTGTGTCCCCAGGAGCTGAACAAGTACCGTGCCAAGTGCAGCATGCTGTTCCACTATGACTGGATCAGCATCCCGCTCGTCTACACCCAAGTAACTCCCTTTTTCCCCTCCCAGTGCCCACTGTAAGTCCTGTGCCATGTGGTCCTGAGAACTAGATGGCCCTCACCGGGCGTCACCTCAGTCTCCTGAAGAGCGGAGGGCTCATCCTCAAAGCCGCCTTCCACCCCACCCCTGAGACCCTATCCCGCTGGCCTTGCCTCCCCATCCCACGTTAATCACTTGTCAGGTCCTCCCAGGGCCCCGGGAGGGGGCCGCCCTTCTCTCCGCCCCACGGCTCCGTCCTCTGGGCCTGGCTTTCCCTTCTGCAGGTGGTGACCATCGCGGTGTACTCCTTCTTCGCCCTCTCCCTGGTTGGCCGACAGTTTGTGGAGCCAGAGGCAGGGGCCGCCAAGCCTCAGGAGCCTCTGGAACCCGGCCAGGAGCCGGGGCCGGGGCTGGGAGACCCGGACATGTACGTGCCTCTCACGACACTGCTGCAGTTCTTCTTCTATGCCGGCTGGCTCAAGGTGCGCACTTCCAAGCATTGTGCCACCCCGCTCTGTGAAAACGCGGGCACGAGGGCCTCCCCAACACTGGGGACAAGCGGGCTCCGGGCCCGGAGGACACTGTCTGCACCCTGCAGGTGGCCGAACAGATCATCAACCCCTTTGGTGAGGATGACGACGACTTTGAGACCAATCAGCTCATAGACCGAAACCTGCAGGTGAGGTGGGGCCTGGCGGCGGGAGCAGCTCCCTGCCCGCGCTCGGCCTGGGTGTGGAGGAGCTGCGGGTCTCTATGACCTGTGCCTCCCCTTCTGCGGGCCCAGGTGTCCCTACTGGCCGTGGATGACATGTACCAGAACCTGCCCCCCGCCGAGAAGGACCCGTACTGGGACGAGGCCCAGCCGCAGCCGCCCTACACCTTGGCCACGGCGGCCGACTCTCTGAGACCTTCTTTCCTGGGCTCCACCTTCAACCTGCGGTGAGCCGCCAGCCTCCGGGCGCAGGGACTGCTCAGGGCAGCCAGGCCCCGGCCGGCCCTCAAGTCTCGCCCTGTGCCACCCCTGCCCGCAGCATGAGCGACGACCCGGAGCAGAGCGTGCAGGTGGAGGCGTCCCCCGTGCCGGCCCGGCCAGCGGCGCAGACCCCGCTGCTCGGCCGCCTCCTGGGCGCGGGTGCACCGTCCCCCGCCATCAGCCTGCGCAACTTCGGCCGAGCGCGCGGCCCCCCGCGCACCCCGCACCTGCTGCGCTTCCGAGTCGAGGAGGTTGGGGACGCCGAGCCCGCAGGGCGCATAGAGGAGGAGGCAGCGGAGTCTGCGGAGGAGGCTCTGGAGCCCTGACACCGCCCGCCTCACCCCCATCCGCCCTCCCTGCGGCCCTAGGCAGGTTTTCCCGGGGACTGGACAGCTTTAGGAAGGCCCTGAAAGCCAAGATGCAAGGCAAGGCCTGAACCAGGGGTGGGGATGTGGCTCCTGCGAAGGCCCTGGGTTCAGTCCCCAGCACTACAAAAATTAATAAAAAAAATTTTGTTTGGTTTTTTGAGACAGGGTCTCACCATGTAGTTGAGGCCGGCCTCAAACTCACTACGAGGCCCCAGGCTGGCCTTGAACTCAGTGATCCTCCTGCCTCAGCTTCCTGAGAGCTGAAATGCCATGGGCCTGAATTTGCAATCCTGCTTCAGCCTCCTGGAATGCTGGGACCACAAGCATGTGCTACAGTGCCCAGCGAGGAAATACTAATTCTGGCTTTGCTTTTTTTCATCTGCATGACTGTGGGATACAGAACATTTTTGTTGTTCGTTTTCTTCTTTCTTTTTTTGTTTTGAGACAGCGTCTATGATATAGTTCAGGCTGGCCTTGAACTTGCTATGCAGCCCAGTCTGACCTTGAATTCATGGTGCTCTACCTGCCTCAGCCTCCCGAGTGCTGGGATTACAGGGATATGCCACCAAACCAGGGATATTGAAACATTTTTGGACAAATGCTTTATCCATCCACCCCAGATATTCATTTGGAAGCCTCAGTTTTCAAATCTGTCATAGAGAGAGTAGCACTTCATAGTGATGGCCATTCACACAGGCTTTTTCCAGGTTTCACAGGGGAGATAGCCTTGCTCTCAGTGACATCTGCAAAGGCGATAGATAGGGACTGGGTGGACTCAAGAGTCCACTCATCTTACCGATCCATTAGAGAGAGAAGAGAATTAGGTGCTGTGGTTCTCCAACACACTGAAAGACTGAAGGAGGATTCTAATTAGAGCTCTAACTAGAAATTACAGGCAGAGGCGGGCATGATGCCACATGCCTGTAATTCCACCACTCAGGAGACTGAGGCAGGAGGATCACTGCAGAGTTCAAGGCTACCTACAGAGACCCTGTTTCACAAAAAACAAAACATGGGGCTGGGGATTTAGCTCAGCGGCATAGCGCCTGCCTGGCAAGCGTGAGGTTGTGAGTTCGATTTCCGGTACCGGAAAAAAAATCAAAAAACAAAAAACAAAACACCAGACCAGGCCTGGGAATGTGTGCCTCAGCTGTGGAGCTTGTTTAGCATGTGGCCAGCCCCCTCCCCCCACACCATGGAAGTTAAATCCTCTATTGGACAGAGCTCTCAGTAACACTTGGCTAACACTAAGGGGCTGAATGAAGATCAACACATGGTGGGAAAGTGCCCTGGAGCCAACAGTTTTGCCAGTCACTTAAATTGAAAGGTTTTGGGGGCTGGGGATTTAGCTCAGCGGCAAAGCGCCTGCCTAGCAAGCGCAAGGTCGTGAGTTCGGTTCCCAGTACCGGAGAAAAACCAAAAAAAAAAAAAAAAAAATTGAAAGGTTTTGTTTCTGTGAAGAGCAATCTTTGTACGCAGAAAAAAGTAGTATCCAAGGAACCGACTGTATTTTGCATTTGTGCAGCGGCACAAGCCTATAATCCCAGCACCAGGGGCAGGCTGAGACAGCAGTGAAAAAAACCTTAATTGAAATCCTGTCCGTCTCAAAATATTGCTATTGGGACTGGGGATTTAGCTCAGCGGCAAAGCGCCTGCCTGGCAAGTGCGAGGCCGCAAGTTCGATACCCGGTACCAGAAAAAAAAAAAAAAAACAAACAAACAAAAACAAAAAACCATTAAAACATCAAAATATCGCTATACGGCTTTCTAGGTGCTGAAAATACGGCCAGGAAGCAGGTATCACTGTTTCCCTGGCATTAGGAGAGCCATAGACAAGCAACTCAAATGAGCAGAATTTGTCATATTAAAGGGAAGGATAAAAATGGGTAACTATGACACAGAATGGAAGGGGTGGGAGACCGCTTCTGTGATTGTGCACCGGGGTGAGAGACCGAGGGCCACTTGAGCGGGGATAGCCAAGACCACACAGCAAGACGCTGCTGCAAAAACAGAACTGCCAGGCCTCAGCTCAAGGCCAGTCCCAACTACATAGTGAGCAGCTGCCTCAAAACAGGAAGAGCTGGGTGTGGTGGTGCGCACCTATAATCCCAGCACTGGGGAGACTGAGGCAGGAAGGATCGCTGAGTTGAGGCCAGCCTGCACTACACAGTGAGACCCTCTCAAAAAAAAACCACATTAACAAAGCCCTCTCCAACTAGGGGCAGAGTTCACCTGGGTGGCAGAGACCTGGAGGGAATGAGCCACCTGGGCAGTTGCAGGAAAGTTCCCCAAACAGCAGGGGGTGTTACAGCAGACCCCTATGTTCACCAAGGCCAGGCTGGTGTGTGGCTGCTGACTCACCACAGGACAGGCTCCAGGTCACATAAGTTCCATCAACACCCAGCAAAGATTTTCACTCAGGAGATGAAAACTGACCTTGTTAGGTGTGGTGGCCCACGCCAGTGATCCTATCAAGAAGCAAATTCTCAGGGCTGGGGATTTAGCTCAGCAGCACAGCACCTGCTTGGCGAGCACAAAGTTGTGAGTTCGATTCCTGATACTGGAGTGGGTGGGGGGTAAAGCAGCAAATTCTCGACCAGCTTGGACTTTCGAGACCCTCTCAGAAACAAACACTGAAAGGGGGCTGGAGATACAACTCACATCAGAGCACATCTAAGCATGACTGTCCGAAAGAAATAGGAGCTCCGGGCTGGGAGTGCAGTGCTGCCTCAGTGCAAGCACTTGCCTAGCATGTGCCTTGTGCCTAGGCGAGGCTCAACCTTAGCATTGCAAAAAACAGCAGCAATCTCTGCCAGCTACTCAGGAGCTGAGGCAGGACCCTCTAGTGAGATCACCCTGGATAGCACAGTTCAATGCCAGCTTAAAAATAAAGACTAGGCCCGGAATGGTGGCGCATGCCTGTGACCCCTGCAAGGGGGAAGCAAGCTGAAACAGAAGCACAACCCCGAGTTTGAAGGCAGTCTCTAAACAAAACAAAGCAGATTTGATGAGTGTGGCAATACATGCTTGTAATCCCAGCACTCAGGAGTCCAATGCAGGGGATTCACAGCAAGTTTTGGATCAACCTGAGCTACAGTGAATTCAGGCCAGCCTCAACTACAAAGCAAGACCCCGTCTCCCCAAAACCCAAAGTACTAGGGATGCACTTCAGTGTGCAGGCCCTAGGGTTCAATTCCTACCGCCACCAGAAAACTTTAAAATGACAGGCGCAACCTGGGTGTGGTGGTGCACACCCGTAAACCCAGTGCTGCAGAGAGGGAGGCAGAAGGATCACAGCAAATTTGAGACCGGCATGGCTGGGCTACAGAGTGAGCTCAAGGCTGGCCTCAACCACATAGCAAGACCCGGTCTCAAAAAGACACCCCCCTCCCTGCAAAGACACACACA